AAAATACTCTCAATCTTAAACGGGAAAAGACCCGAATACACCAAAACTTGCACATATAGATAGATAGATAGATAGATAGATAGATATCTATAATCATATATATATATATGATTATAGATATAATGTATATAATATAATCTGGCTGCCAGAAGAAAAAAGCCCAGAATCGAGTGAATGTGACTACACTGAGCTAGGGCTGCAGAAAAATCTTGGTTACGTAGGAAAGACCTGGCTAAAAGAAAAACACACACGTATGTATGTATGTATGTATGTATGTATGTATGTATGTATTTTCTTTTCGTAGGCCTTTATGTGTATTTCTCTTTAGCCAGGTTCTTCCTATGTAAAAATAAAAATCTTGATTTACGTAGGAAGAACCTGGCTAAAGAGAAATACAAATATATATATATGTATATATGTATGTATAGTCCTCCAGAGGTGGTTATGGTCGCTGGGGAACAGGTTCCATCATTCTTGGATATGTATATAGAGTCATGCTGGGGTGGTTAGAGGCTTATGTGGGGGTGGGTGGGAGGGGAGCGATCAGAGGTTGCCCACCTTTGCCTGTGGGTGGGTGGGGGGGGTGGGGTGAGAAGAAGGCCAAGCTGCCCATGTTCAGGAGGAATGAGGCTTGGCTTGCTAGCATCCTGTAATTCTGAGAGAATTGGTGGCCTCCCAGATCTCCCGTTTGGAGAAGGCTCCTGTGGTTTTGTTTTGGGAGTGACTTGGATTGAGGGTTGGGGATAAATCTACGGAGATTTTCAAATCATCCAGGTCATGATTGTCCCAAAGGGGCTTTTCCCAAAAGGCAAACTGGGCCTTCTTTCTTCTTCTCTTCCTCCCCCCCCCCTCCTCCTCCTTCATCATCTAGGTTATGATTGTCCCAAAGGGGCTTTTTCCAAAAGGCAACTGAGCTTTTATCATCTATTTATTATTATATATACTTTATAATATTGGACTTTCTTGATTTTTTCGGGCAGAAGACATCGAAGCATAGCCAGCCGAACAAATAGATTTAAAAATAATTTCTATCCTTGAGCTATCAGACTCTTAAACACAACCACAATCACTCCACGCACATGCAGAAACGTATGACTAGTTTTTCTTTTTCTTCCCCCCCCCCCCCCCCCCATTACTTGCATAGGGATTATTCTTTATACTATTTATATTTTTTGTCATGGATTGCACCAGTGAGGCTAAAACCAATTTTGTTATATACATGATGTAGAATGACAATAAAGGCTATACTATACTTATTCATTAAACTTGAAACTCAGTCAACCGAACATTCAAAAATACACCACAAATACCATTGACTGGTGCTAATGGTTGATACGGGTTGCTGCCAGCGTTGTTTATTATTATTATTATTATTATTCATACTTGGAAAAGTTTTGCTTCTCATCCAGGAAGAAGAAGCCAAAGAAGTTTCTCGGACAAGAAGCAAAATGTTTTCAAAAGAAAAAAAATCAAGACAGTTCAGTTGCCTTTTGAGGAAAAAACCCCACCTTTGGGATAGTTTGGTGATATTCTTTCTTTTTGTGGGTAGTGAGAAAGGGTCATTCTCTAGTGGCGTGTATTTTAGGTAGGATGTTGTTATAGTGTTTCTGCTGATGAGGTACCCCAAGTTGGAGAGATTGTGGCTCCGAACTGAAAAGAGAGAATGGGCTAATTCTGCTGCTTGGCTTACAGGACATTTTATTCTCAGTTTGGGGGAGATGGGTTGAATGAATCCCTTCTGAATTCTTTCATATTTTCTCTTGATAACAATAGTTAAACTACATGTGTCCAACCTTTTGGCTTTCCTGGGCCGTATTGAGTGAAGATGAATTGTCTTGGGCCCCATATAAAATATATAATATAGTTAATGTATACATATACACATAAAAGTGAAAATTAGGGCTGCATTATTACCTGGTCAGGGCCGCATGTGGGTCATGGGTGCCACGGGTTGGACACGCCTGATTTAGACCTTAGTTGTAGGCTGAATCCTAAAGTTCTTTAATGGCTTATTTTATCAATTCCTTGCGCTGGAAAAAATGTTGATTGAAAAAAAATTGCAGTTTGCTTTTAATTAATAGAGTAGGCTGTAAGTCAAAGGATATGAAGACTTAATTGGAGGGACTGTCAGTTGAGCTGCATGGTTGGGAAGGGATTTGAACCCGATACCTTCTGGAAAGGGCAGTAATGAGTGCAATGTAAGGTTATAATCAACGGTTAGGTTGGGTGAAATGAGGTTCGCCAGCCCTAATCCTAGCTATGTTTCCTTACTAATAATTTTATTGATTTTTGGTTACTTATAAACGAATAGTTAATTGTTGTCTTACTTATTTATAAAGCTTAAGGGTACTTGTGCTATTTATCGATATCTGGATGTTTATTAAAACGGAGTTTCTTCCAAGGAGTAGGATTGTAGAAATACCTGTCTTTTTTTTTTTCTTCAAATGAGTATTGTTAATAATCTGTTGTTTTTTTTTCCTTGTTCTTCCTCCTAGGATTTTACACCATCTTTTAAATTGCTGCTTGTACAGTCATTTGCTGGAGGTCAGTTAGAGTTTTTCAAAGACCATGAAAGCAATGTGGGCCACAAATAATATTAACCTAAGCATACGTACGCTGGCGGCTAGACAGTTTTGTGGAGTTACTAGCTTTCCGCCATGAAGAAGGGAGACTGTATACTTAGTCAAATCTTGTTTACTAGGCCTTACACTGTTCATTAGGACTCAGTCTCCAGGATGAATAGAATTTGACCTTTAACTGTTTCTATTCAAGGCGTGGATGTGGAATGAAACTCTGGATATGCAAAATATTCTGTCATATTCTGGCATTGCAACATTATTATAGAAATGAGACAACCTTGAACCCGTTTTGGGTTTAGGACACTTTCCAAACTCCTAATTAAAACTCATAATGGGACAAGTTGCCTTACAGCATACATTTCAAACCTTTCCAAATGTGTGCTTTTTCTAACGTTTTTGATGCTACTGTGGCATTAGACTCAAATTATAGGCAAACCTGGGAACAAAACAGAAACACGGTTATGTATACAGTCCTCAAGAAATACAGCACAGGTAGCCCTTGACTTACGCCAAAATTGAGCCCAAAATTTCTGTTGTTAAGTGAGTTTCGCTCCATTTTACAACTCAACCAATGTGAGTTTTAAAGAAATTCTAGCAGACTTTTTTTTTTTTTTTTTGAGTGTGATTATTGCCACTAGTGTTTCTTTTCTAGGAAAGGAAAGTCTCCATTGCTGATTTTTGGCAGAATTACAGAAGTTTGTCGTAATATTAATTCAAATTTCTGGAAGTAGTGAGCTATACTACTGGTATATCTACCGTGTTTTCCTGAAAATAAGACCCTGTCTTATATTTTTTTGAACCCTGAAATAAGCGCTTGGCCTTATTTTCGGGGAGGTCTTATTATTTTGGGGCACGTGGAACAAGATGGGGCTCCTCTTGCCGTCTTACCTGATTTCTAGCTCTGTCTCCCTACCCCTAACCAGAGGAACTGGTGGGGACCGGCTGCACATGAGGTTAAATATTTTGGGGGAGGGCTTATTTTCAGGGGGTGGCTTATTTTAGCGCATGCGCTCAAAAGCGTGATTGGGCTTATTATCAGGGGATGTCTTATTTTCAGGGAAACGGTAGATTTTTATCTGGATAACATTGATAGTTACAAATCGATTTTTCTCCAGCGACAATTCAAAGTCATGTAAAATGATTTCTAATTCACATTATGTATGTTTTACATTACGCTGCACAGAAGAATGTGAAATGGTACTTTTTTAACCTTCAGTTTGATCCTATGCCCTATAGTGAATGGATGGCTTTCATATAACAACTTCCCTAAAAGACAGACACATTTGGCAAGGAATCATTTGGGAAAACGGCTCTCTTAGGTTTCTTAGACATTTCTTCCTTTTTCTGGCAATGCTAAACTTGTGAATTACAGTCTCTGTGAATGAAATTTACCAGTTTTCTTCCAAAGGTGCTTTTTCAAGGGGCAACTGGACTTCCTTTGTTTTTCTCTGAAGACGTTTCGCTTCTCATCCAAGAAGCTTCTTCAGCTCTGACTGGATGGTGGGGAAATTAGAGCCAACGAAGCTTCTTGGAGGAGAAGCGAAACATCTTCAAAGAAAAACAAAGGAAGTCCAGTTGCCTCTTGAAAAAACACTTTGGGACAACTGTGACCTGGATGACTGAGAATCTCCATAGACATTTACCAGTTTTCTTGTTTCTTACAGAAAAAATCTGTAGTTAACCATGGCGGAGCTGGAGAACCTTGAGGTGATGATAAAAACCTTGGATTCTCAGACAAGAACATTCACAGTAGAAGGAGAGGTAAGATCACCTAAATTTGGATAACAGCAGGAAAGTGGATAGGACTGTTGTTTTTATGCCTGGAGTATCTCAACAGTGTATTGATGTTGCTTTGCAGAACTCACAGTTACCTGCTTTAAGGTAACAGATTATGAGTAGAAGATCCCTGGGCCTATTGATTGGTGTTCTGACCTACCATTGGCATCTTCAGTCTCAAAAGACTATGGTACCGTGTTCTGGAACAGCATCTAGTGTGACTAAAAAGGCCAATTCGAGAGTGGCAATCCCTTCCACACTGAGGGCAGATACATTCTGTCCCCTGCCCAGCCAGATTTCACTGGTTCCGGGACTGCCTCTTTGCCTCAGCCTGCTGAACGAGTGTCTCTTCGAATTGGAGAAAACCATGCTGCGTCTTTAGCCTCCAAGCTGAACGATCAAGATTTACCAGTAGTTAATGTCCATTCCCAGGGCCTTTAGGTCCCTCTTGCAGATATCCTTATATCGCAGCTGTGGTCTCCCTCTGAGGCGCTTTCCCTGCACTAATCCTGCACAGAGTTTTGACCTAGACTTCCTGAGAAAGCATAAAACAAAATTTTAGACCCCCCAAAAATCTTTTTTTTTTTTTTTTTGAGACGGCTGGCCATTCACAGCCCGTAATGATTCCCAAACAGTCTGTGAAGATTCCGACAGATGTCTGCCACTGTCTTCCAAGGTAATGCTGATAAGCACCCACCTTTATCTCCCTTGAAAGGCTGCCAGAGAACTAATTGCCAATTAGTTTTGCAAGGCCAAATGGAGGAGAGAGGCGAAGGGACTTCTCAGAGCTTGAATTGACTATATGAACTAATTGCTGCCTGCAAAGGCTCCTTTTTTATGTCTTATGGGAGGGGCCAATCAACAACTTTGTTGTTAAGCAAGGCAGTTTGATTTTAACTTTTTATATCTTAACTTAGATGTAAGCATAAGCTGCCGAGAGTTACCATATGGTAAGATGGGCGGCCAATAAATAAATATGTGTGTGTGTGTGTGTGTGTGTGTATATATATATATATATTTGTGTGTGTGTATGTATGTACTGGTATGTGTATATGTATATGTTATATATGTATATGATATATATGTATTCAATATATGTATACAGTATGTATGTATGTGTAATATATATATCTGTGTGTGTGTGTATATATAGATACACACACACACACACACACACACACACACAGATAGATAAGATATGTGCTGATCAGTAAATTTAATAAACAACCAACCAAACAAATATTTTGCTGACAACTAGCAGATCTGGTCTTGGAAAGATTTCATCTGAGCTTGCTTTGTCCCATTCAAATCCTGACAATCTTCAAGACATCTGCAACATTTCATTGACCCCAAAGCTGGATTAGTTTCTGACCCTTTGCATTTCCCCTCCCCGCCCCTTTTCCTTCCTTCCTTCCTTCTCTTTGCGTATATGGTCACTCGCGTTTGAGACCGCAGTGCGCTGTCCCTCTGCAGAACGGAGGCGCTTCCTTCATTGTCCAGGCTTTCCTAGGCAGGTGCCATAGAGGGGCCAGATTCTGACGAAGGAAGAATGGGAAGAGAGTTTTCTCCTGGTGGTTGTTCTTTTTCTTTTCAGTTTTCCTTTTGCTCCGTAGATCACCGTGAAAGAGTTCAAGGAGCACATAGCGGGCTCAGTCAACATTCCCTCCGAAAAACAGCGCCTCATCTATCAAGGGAGAGTCCTACAAGATGACAAGAAGTTGAAAGAATACAGTGAGTTTGGAACCAAGAGAAGGTTGGGGTGGGTGGGTGGGGAGGGGTTTGAAGTGAACAAGGGGAGAGTTTGGGAGACGGGGTGGGGTGTGGGTTTCTGACCCAGGTTCACCCTGGAAAAAGCCCCCCCGAAATGTTAGCGTTCTCCTTCCATAAAGGCTGCCCAGAATAAAATTCATATTTTACATGAAGTGCTCGCTCCGGAGTTATTTTGGCATAGATTCATAACCGCTGGGTTACGGTGGAGTGTAAAATTGTTGTTGGAATAAAAGTTTGAAATTGGTCTTGAGACATTCAGGTTGGGAAATAAAGTGGCTGCCTCTTTCTTGACCAATTGTTTTCCTGCTTACATGTGTACATGTTTGGAAATGTACGTACACCTTGTCCATCTTATATGTACATATATATTGCAATATAATAATAGTAATATATGTATTATAATATATATTATATTGCATATGCATGTACAAGTAGTCCTCGACTTAACGACCACAATTGAGCCCAAAATTTAAGTGAGATGTTTGTTAAGTGAGTCCCTCCTCCATTTTTACAGCCTTTCTTGCCATAATTGTTAAGCGAATCCCTGCAGTTGTTAAATTAGTAACACAGCTGTTAAGCCACTCTGGCTACCCCATTGATTTTGCTTGTCAAAAGATTGTGAAAGGGGGTCCTATAACCCGCCGGACACTGCAACTTGTCATAAATACATGCCAGTTGCCAAGCATCTGAATTTTGATCACATGACCATGGGGATGCTGCAGCGGTCGTAAGTGTGAAAAACGGTCATAAGTCACTTTCAGTGCTGTCATAATTTTGAACGGTCATTAAACGAATTGTAAGTCGAGCATTAATTACCTGTATTACGTTTAACTTGGGCCCTAATTAAGGAGGAATATGTTTTGAGCAAGGGGAGTGAGTTAGTGGGCCTTGGTAGTACAGGGGTTTAAGGCACCCTGTTATTAAGCTGGTTATTAAGACCAGCTGCCTGCAATTACTGCAGGGTTCGAATCTCGCCAAGGCTCAAGGTTGACTCAGCCTTCCATCCTTTCTAAGGTAGGTGAAATGAGGACCCAGATTGTGGGGGCAATAAGCTGACTTTGTATAAATATACAAAAGGATGAAGGCTATTGCTGAGCACATTGTAAGCCGCCCTGAGTCTTCAGAGAAGGGCGGCATATAAATCAAATTAAAAAAAAAAAATCTATAGTTTCTCCCAGCTTCATTAAATTTCCTGAGGATGCAGTTTAGAATGTCAGGGTTCCAAGTAACACCCCCAAGGAAAGAAAACTCTGAGTTTCCTCAAAGTTCCATTTTATTAGACACATTGACACATCTGGGAAAACCCGAATCTGAAAGCTTCCAGGTTTTCCCCACCCAAAGGAAAGGCCAAGTCCCTGCCCAACACCCACATGACCATCACATGGTCCAATCAAAGCACCATCCCAATTGGGAATGCCTCCCAGTTCCAGTCCTCCAGGTACAGGGCAAGTTGTCCTTGACTTTCTGAGAAAGGAATGTTGTTATGACTATATATCACCCTGGCTCTATACAATCCCCCCTCCCAGTTTCCCACAGTAGTAAATGTGGGAGGCCTGAAGATCCAATGAAAAAGATGGCCTGACAGGCCCCGCCCCATCATCAGAAAAGCGTGTCCTGAAATGAGAGTGGCATAGTGGTTAATTCAGCATAGCTCTCCCTCCCCCAGGGGGTGCATAGCCTGTCCTATATACAGTATATTTGCAAGACATGGACGAATTCTACAGTTTAAGGACGATTTACGGTACAATCCAGGTTTATTTATTCAGATGTTCACATCCAGGTAAAAGAGGCATAGAATTGCAGCAGAAGCATCAGCATTTTGGAAGTTGGGGAAGTACAGATCAAACCCCATATGTGGAGGTCCAGGTTTTTAAATTTTTTTTAATTAATTTAATTTAATTTAATTTAATTTAATTTAATTTAATTTAATTTAATTTAATTTAATTTAATTTAATTTAATTTAATTTAATTTTTAATATTTTATAATTTTATATTTTTTATTTATTTTTTATTTTTTATATTTTATTTTATTTTATTTTATTTTATTTTATTTTATTTATTTTATTTTATTTTATTATTTTATTATTTTATTTATTATTTTATTATTTTATTTTATTTTATTTTATTTTATTTTATTTTATTTTATTTTATTTTATTTTATTTTATTTTATTTTATTTTATTATTTTATTTTATTTTATTTTATTTTATTTTATTTTTACACACGCATACTTTTAATTGAAAACAAAGTAGTACTGTATTTTTTGCTCCATAAGATGCACCCGACCATAAGATGCGCTCCCGTTTTCGGCCTCCGCGTGCCCCATGTACCTCCGCGCATTCCATTTTCAGCTTCTGCGCACCCTGTTTCCTTCACGGAGGCAAAAAACCAGGTGCGTGGAGGCTGAAAACAGAAGATGAGTGGGGGCCGGTGGGTTTGCAGGGTCTCGGCAATATTCACCCCATAAGACACACAGATATTTCCATCGACTTTTGGGAGACAAAAAAGTGCGTCTTATGGAGCCAAAAATACGATAGCTGAAAAATGGGCAAAGTGATTAAGTCAGGCTTGAGGCCCATTTATGGGAAAGAACCAGTATTGGTCATGCTTGTCAACGATCTGTGGCAATAGCATGTAGACTTACATACTGCTTTACAGTGCTTTACAGCCCTCTCTAAGCAATTTACAGAATCAGCCTATGCCCCCCCACCCGCAACAATCTGGGTCCTCATTTTACCCCCCTCGGCAGGATGGAAGGCTGAGTCAACCTTGAACCTGGTGAGATTCGAACGGCTAGCAGCCGGCAGCAGAAGTAGCCTGCAGTACTGCACTCTGACTGTTCTGCCACCCCAGTTCTGGCAAGAACAGAATGTGGGTAGCAACATTGGAATAACAGCAAAGTCAATGGGGACCTTGGAGGTCTTCTAGTCCAACCCCCCCCCTGCTCAGGCAAGAACCCTTATACCAGAAGTCGGCAACCTTAAACACTCAAAGAGCCAAAAAGGTCCTAACCGGAAGCCCTCTGTTCAATTCTCGAGCCAACCAGAAGTCCGGTTCCCCACCATAGAGTCTTCTAGCGCGGCATCCTTTTTCCTCTACCTGTCCTAATTGAAAACCCTATCAATTGTGGAGCCGACTGGAAAACCTGGCTCCTTTCCATAGAGTCCCTTCCTGGTGCGCTGTGCTTTTCCTCCCCATAACCGGAAGCTCCTCTCAAAATTGTGGTGGCGACAGGGAGCCGCAGCAGAGGGGATGAAAGAGCCACATGCGGCTCCAGAGCTGTGGATTGCTGACCCCAGAGCCCTATACCATTTCAGACAAACGGCTTCTCTTCTTAAAAACTTTCAGTTCTTAGATTCAAGACTTCAAGGGCAGCCAGACATGGAATGAGAACTCTATAAGGAAATCTTGACTACGTATCTTAGTTGTTGTTGTTGTTGTTGTTTTGCAGATGTTGGAGGCAAAGTCATCCACTTGGTGGAACGCGCCCCTCCCCAGACCCAGTCGCCCTCGGGAGGGCCTTCAGGAGCAGGCTTGTCCACCGCCCCTCACAACAACACGGGACCCCGGGGGTCAGGTTCCACTGTCCATGACCGCAACGCCAACAGTTACGTTATGGTGGGAACCTTCAACTTACCAGTAAGCATTATGGACCCACAGCCACCCACACAAGTGAGTTTTAGCCAGAGAGTTGCAGGGCAAGGGGAAGTATTCGGGCTCCCCCTAATGCTTTTGCCCCCCTTCCCGTTAATAAAACAAGAAGGGAACTTGCTTGTACGCTGCTACATGGTAGGGGGGAGCTGGCGGCGGGGTGCTTTAAGCCAGGGGTCTCCAACCTTGGCGACTTTAAGACTTGTGGACTTCAACTCCCAGAGAGGAACTCTGGGAGTTGAAGTCCACAAGTCTTAAAGTCGCCAAGGTTGGAGACCCCTGGCTTAAAGCGGCTTTGGGTTCCTCCCTTCTGCTTTTGCACAGAGTGGGGTCAGTGTCAGCCGTTCCTGAAACTGTCATTTCTGACTTGGAGGGGTGTGTTGTGAACAACGTCTGGCTTGTCCTTCTGTTCTGCCTGTGTTTGCGATGACTGTGTGTGGTACGGAGAGAGAGGAAGAGGGTTTGAAACACACACTAGGCACAGGGCTTTTTTTTCCCGTTGCTTGAGTTGCTCTAAAAGGAATAATTTTTAAATTTTATAGACTTGGGGTTTTAAATTGGGAGGCCGATTGATTTCATCTCTTTTAATGATCTTAACTTTTGTATTGTATGTATTTTAATTTTGGCTGTTCACCGCCCTGAGTCTCTTTTGGGAGAAGGGCGGTATACAAATAAAATAAAATAAAATAAATAAATAAATAAATAAAATAACAGGTAGTCCTTGGCTTATGACCGTGATGGACCCCTAACGTTTCTGTTGCTCAGCGAGACATCCGTTAAGTGGGTTTTGTCCCATTTTACGACATTCCTGGCCACAGTTGCTAAGTCAATCCCTTTGGTTGTAGTTACCTCAGTGGGTAAGTCAATCTGGCTTCCTCATTGAACTTTGCTTGTTGGAAGGTTTGCCAAAGGTGGGGTGGTGGTGGTGGGGGGGAGAGATCGCATCACCCCGGGATGCTGCCGCCGTCCTAAATGTGAAGTCAGTCACCAAACGTCTGAATTTTGATCATGCGATCGTTTGGGCGGAGAAATTTTTGTCAGTTGAATTTTGAACGTTTGCCCCATTTGACGACTTCTCGTCTCGTTTGTTTCACTGAAACGCTGCAGTTGGTAAATTAGCCACATGGTTGTTAAGTGAATCAGGGTTTGGCTTTTTTTTTTTTGCTTTAATTTATATGCCGCCCTTCTCCGGAGACATAGGGCAGCTTACAATGCGTTAAGTAATAGCCTTCATACTTTTGTATATTTATACAAAGTCAGCTTATTGCCCCCACAATCTGAGTCCTCATTTTACCTACCTTTGAAAGGATGGAAGGCTGAGTCAACCTTGAGCCTGATGAGATTTGAACTTGCAGGCATTGCTGGTCATAAGGTCGCAAAAGGGGAATCGCGTGACCTCGGGACCCTGCCACCGTCATAAATTTGAGTTCAGTTGTCAAACATCTGAACGTAAATCACCTGACAGTTGGGGATGCTGCAAGTGTGAAAAACGATCCTAAGTCATTTTTCCCCCCAGTGCTGTTGTAACTTCGAAACGGTCACTAAATGAACTGTTGTAAACCGAGGACTACTTGTATTCAGCCAGATTAAGAAATGACAATTCCCTGGGTTGGGGTTGAGGTCTACCTACTGGGGTTGGTCAGGAGCAACCTTCTCTCTCTTTCCCTCTCATATCTTTCTCTGTATTTCTGACTTGACGATCGTCCAGATAGGACAGGGGTCTCCAAACTTGGCAGCTTTAAGACTTGTGGACTTCAACTCCCAGAATTCTCCAGCCAGCTATGCTGGCTGGAGAATTCTGGGAGTTGAAGTCCACAAGTCTTAAAGCTGCCAAGTTTGAAGGCCTCTGAGGTAACCTGTATCCATCTTTAAACAAGGCTTGGGGATATATTTGAGAACAGGTATTGCGAGAGCGTTTTCTGAAATGACACAGCCTTGTGAATACGTTTCGAATAATAAAAACATTTAGGGATGTTTAGCGTATGAGCTACATACCCGAGCATCTCCATTTCTGAGTCGTGTCCATTTGGAATTCGGCCCCTCTGAAGTCAGCGCAATTTCCCTCCCAAAAAGATTTCAGCCCCTAAGAATTCTGCGCCCATCTTTTCGGAAACGCGTTTGCTAATGATTCGTGGAATAAAAAATGAAAACTCGAAACAAAAAACGGCTAAAGAATTCTAGAAGGCCTCTTTGGAAGTCATTATTTGGTCCTTCCTATCATTATTGCTTCTTCTTCTTCTTCTTTTTTTACTCCTGCATCTATGGGATTTTTGGGAAGTTTTGAGAAGTACTGGTGATTCCCCGGCCATGAATTCACAGGAGCATAAACAAATTCCCAAGAGCGCACACTCATGTCTGAACGGTGTATAATTGTGTTTTGTGACAGAGAGAGAGAGAGAGTCACGGGAAATAAACCCTGGTATTTCGGTATTATTTCAAGAAAATATCTTTTCAAGTGATGTGTAATTTGAAGAATCTACCACGCTGGGTGGGGAGCAGCCTTGGATGATGTTGCAATTTGATCTACTGGGTGGTTTGGTTTTTTTTTACCTTCTTTTCTGCTCTGTTTTGTTCTTTTCTCCTGCACACACCTACCTCCTTTTTTTTTTTTTTTTTGGTCCTTTTAATTTTTTTTCTCTCTGTCTATTTCTCACTCCCTGCTTTCCAAAGAACGATGGATCGTCTGTGGACGTTCATATAAATATGGACCAGGCTCCTATTCAGGTACAAGTGGGGTTGGGAAGGACAGAATTTAATGTTAAAAATGGATGGGTTTATTTTAATATGTGGGCGTAACTGAGATTCTGGACTGTAGCATGTTGTAAATGTCAGGGTTCCAAGCAACAATCCCCCAACGAAATCAAACTCCCAAGGCTTGAAGTTCCTCAAAGCTAACTTTTATTAGAGATGTCAGATTGGCACATCTGGGAAAACCTGAATCTGAGAGCTTCCGGGTTTTTCACACCCAAAAGAAAATTCAAGACCTCTCCCACACGTCCACCACACATCTAATCAGGTACAGCCCGGAATAGAAGATACCTCCTCATTCTTCTCCACACACAGTTGCAGGACCCCATGGCCTTGACTTTCTGTAAAGTATTTTATTGTGACTACATATCTTCTTCCCTCTATGCAATCTCCCCTCCCAATTTCTGGGAACTGGGTATGTCTAGTTTGAAGATAAGGAGGACTAGGGGTGACATGATAGCAGTCTTCCAATATCTCGGAGGCTGCCAGAAAGAAGAGGGAGTCGAGCTATTCTCCAAAGAACCTGAATTTAACCAATCCAACGTTCTATCCAGAGGCAATTTTTGATCAGTGACTACTGATCAAATTTTATGAAGAAGATAATTCTTCCCAACCTTAGTTTCATGTCTTTAGCCACCATTCTGAAGCATTGTACTCTCCGGGTTCCAGATTCAGGGTTTTTCGTTGGAGGTCTTCTACTGTAGTGGCCAAAATTGTTGAAACCTTTTGAGGAAAGTGTATTTTTGAGGTTTGATGGCTAATAACACCACTCTTTTTTTTTTTTGGAATTTCAAGATAATCATATTCCACTGCTGGAATGGCCTGGGAATAGCCCAGACCTTAACTTAACCCAATTGAAAATCTATGGAGCCGACTAAAGAAACTTGTTAGTCAGAAGCGACCCAGCAATAAAACTCAGTTAATAGAAGCAATCCTTCAATCTTGGTTTCACATTAGAACAGCTGCAGAACAAAAAGACTTGGTTCACTCCATGGGAAGACGTTGTAAGGCCGTCATTCATGCTTAAAGGTTCCCACACTAAGTATTAACTGACCTTGTGATAATTTTTGTATATCTCATTTTTTCTGTGGTGATAATTTTTGTATATCTCATTTTTTTCTACGCGTTTCACTTTTCTTCTTTCTACTGTAGCTGCTATTCTAACAGCAAATCCTTCATAAAAGTTAATGTGTTACATGTTTGATTAAATAATCTTTCCATTGATATATAATTTTGTGGTACTACTACTACTACAAAAAAAAAAAAGTGGTGTTATTAGCTAGGTTTTAAATTGGGAGGCCGATTGATTTAATCTCTTTTAATTATCTTAACTTTTGAATTGCATGTATTTTAATTTTGGCTGTTCACCACCCTGAGTTCCTTTTGGAGAAGGGCGGTATACAAATTAAATAAATAAATAATAAATTTTAGAAAATACACTTTTCCCAAAAGATTTCCACAATTTTGGCCACTACTGTATGTTCCTTAGAAAGAACAGCAGAGAAACCGAAGGGCGGGTTTTTTGTTTTTTTTTGTTTTCATTTTTAAAAGAAAGGAATTGAGGGCTTTTTATACCAGTCTTCTCCAGACTGGTGCCCTCTTGATGCAGCTTCTGCGAACTCCATCCAGACACGATGCCGACTGGATGTGATAGTGAGCTGTTGTCCAGCCCATCTGAAGTGCTCTTACTTGGAATAGATATCTCATACAGTTGATGTACTACACAGCCAAGCAGATATCAGCAAAATCCCAGAGGGATCCTATGACTTAATCTCAGTGTCAGAAATAAGAGAAAAGGAACCCAAAGTCAGGAAGAGTCCCAATGTGGAAAATATTGCAATTCTTCAGGGATAGAAAAGAAGTATTGTTCTCTGCATCTTAAAGAGCTTCAAGGAGGAATTTCACTGGACCTTACAAGCCCTGAGGTCTCCTTCCTTAAATGATCTTAGCTCCCCCGTCTGCCTCTTCTGTTAGACATGGAGGTTGCTTTAGTAACACATTGGGGTTCTTCCTGCCCAAGCCCTTAGCAAGAGCTATCATGGTTACAGGAAACGAACCTTGGCTTGAAGGGACCAAGTAAGTAGAAAAGCAATGCGGTCAGAACTAAAGAGGAGGCGGGGTGACCACAGGTTTGGAAAGTGGGCGCGGGGTGAGTGGATTCAACTCTGGGAGGACCGAAGGGCCCGAACCTGGCCTTAAGGAAATCAATCAGTTTTACCCAAGGAGGGATCTACAGGGAAGGAGGAATTCTGATTCAGGGGAAAGAGGTCCTTTTGGGCCTTCTGATAACGGCCGTTTCTTTCTTCCACGTAGAGTGAACCTCGTGTCCGTCTCGTTATGGCCCAGCACATATTACGGGACATTCAAGGTATCCTGAACCGACTAGAGGTGAGGGGATTTCTAATCCTGGGGAACACGAAGCAGGAATGTAGATTCGCTGCCCCGGAGACTCCCTTCTAGAGGGCCTGGAAGATCACCTGTTCCTTTTCTTCAGGGTAACACCAGTGACCATGCTGCTGTGGGATCCGAGGATACGCCGTCTGCTAGCCCGACCGAAAGGGAGCCGATGACAGGCACCGAATCGGAGCCTCCCCAGGAGCCCACGCCAGCCGAGGAAACGCCGCCCTCTGGGAGCGAGCCGCCCCCTGGGGCTGAAGCAGCTGCCCCCAAGTAAGAAAGCTGACCACCAAAGAGATAGCAAGAGTTGCCCCCCCCCCTTTCAAACCAGCCGGGTGCCGACAGATCAGGGCGGGTGGAGAACTGTGGATGGGAACCATAGAGGTGGGCTGTGCCAAGGTGGTAGAGGGGCAGCCTCGAGGAGCTGGAGGGATACTGGCTGTTTCTCAGAGGAGGCAGGGGAACAGTCCCGGAGCAAGATGGCAAGGGTCCTCTGTTTCTGTAGCCACCCGTCACCTGGAGAGTATGTGGAGGTTCTGGGCGAGCTTCGTGGGTTGGAAAGCAGACTCCAGCCTTTCCTGCAGAGATACGAGGAGGTCCTGGGAACTGCTGGCACTGCCGACTACAACAACAACGTAAGAGATGTCCGGTTCTAAAAAAAAAAAGAAAGTTGACCTCTGACCTGGGAAGCTACCTTTTCACCCCTTATTTCTGCATTTACTGGTTATATGAAGTTGGGTCAGTGTCTTTATTTACATCGGAACCATTTGGTTTATCATTATTCTTTCGATGTATGCTCTGGCCTTCAGCCCTTTGGTTGAAGATGTGGCTTCCAGAGGCCTCGTTACTGTTCTGACCTAGGCTCCCTGAGAAAGCTTAAATCACACGCTTAGTCCCAAAAAACCCTCTTTTATTTAAACGGCTGTAAATTCACAGCCCGTAATAATTCCCAAACATTCTGTGAAGAGTCCGACCAAGGTAATACTGATAAGCACCCACCTTTATCTCCCTTGAAACGCTGCCAGAGACCTAATTGCCAATTAGTTTTGCAAGGACAAACGAAGCACAGAGTCAAACAGAGCTTCTCAGAGTTTGAACGGACCAGAATGAACAAATTGCTTCCTGCGAAGGCTCAAGTCCGTTTGCTCCTCTCTTATGCCTTATGGGAGGAGCCAATCATCTCCAAGCCTTACTCCCGAGTTGTCCCTTTTGTCTTAACTGTTTTTGCCTCCTGGCAGCTGTGCACATGCACGCACTGGGAACAGGCTCCCCCTGTTCTGCCTCGCTGATGTCACATTCCAGAGTCAGCACATAATCACCAGATGGCTCTGGCCCCCTCTCTGCCTCCGGCGCAGAGCCCTCATTCAAGCCTTCCCCAGACTCCAGGACTGGCCCATGTTCCTCCCCAACCTCCTCACTGTCTGAATCTGCTGCTGGCCGCTGGCAGACCACAACACTTTCTGGGCTCGGTTCCCCCATCCCGTTTGTGTCTGAGCCACCGTTTAAAGTGCTTCCGGTTTGAAATGATTAGCCAGTGACATCACCGTCGCCCAGGGTACACCCATGGGGTGGGGGGGGGAGGGTTTCTTTTCATATCCCATCAAGGAGCTGGAGCATGTGACAGGAGCTCACCCTGCCACTCGGCACCACTTGGGTCTCGAACGTGGGCTTGCTAGCCTCTAACCCAGTGTCCTAACCACCTGAGCCCCACGCTCCTTTTCTGACCTCAGGTGTTCTTTGATCTGACCCAACAATCCTCTGAGGTGATTTTTTTTTTTTTTAGGCTTGATAAGGAAACCCCCCCCGCCCCCCAACTTCGTTTCATTCGAATTCCCTGCTTTTCTTTTGCCAGACGGAAGGCCGCGAAGAAGACCAACGCATAATCAACCTGGTGGGGGAGTCGCTGCGCCTTCTGGGGAACACCTTTGTAGCCCTCTCGGACTTGCGCTGCAATCTCTCCTGCAGCGCCCCCCGCCATCTCCACGTGGTGCGACCGATGTCCCATTACACAGCTCCCATGGTCCTGCAGCAAGCTGCCATCCCCATCCAGGTGAGGCCTCGGCCTGGGAAAAGCCAGGTTGGGGGGGGGGGTGCCTTTCCTCAAACCCGGGAACGGCTTGGGCCACGGCGGTTCTGGTTTCCCCTTGGCTGGGTGACGAGGGCTCCGCAAAAAGAGAATCCAGAAGACCCTCCCGTTTCTTCCTCCGGGTTCTTGCTTCAGATTAACGTTGGCACCACCGTCACCATGACGGGCAACGGTGGCCGCCCCGTCCAGACCAACTTGGAAGGCTCTGCTGCTGCTGCTGCTGCTGCTGCTGCTGGTGCTCAGGCCGCTCCCACATCCCAGCCTCGCACTTCCAGCCCCGTGGAGTCAACTCAGCCGTCCGATGGCTCGCCTCCTTCCCTCTCCCCGGGGGTCACCGCTATGCCGCCGCAGGCCTCTCAACCAGGGCACCCCCGTGTCATCCGCATTTCACATCAGACGGTCGAGCCTGTGGTTATGATGCACATGAATATACAGGGTGAGTTTGGGAGGCCTGATAAGAGATCAGGGCTGTTTTTGAAGATCATGCTCAATGGAAGGCAATATTTGCAGCTCAGGGTTGAACTCGGGGGTCTTTGGGTTTCTCTGAGCTTAGTTGTTTTCTTGCAGACTTCTTGGGTTTTTCTTGGGTTTCAGCACCCAACTAGGTAACGTCATCAGTGCCAGAAGGGAATGGTGTTTGGTTTCTGTTTATATAGAGCGGTTTGCCCTGATCAAGTGTTCATGTGTTGTTTTCTTCTTGGCCAGGCCTTGTATTCTTTGAACTACCAAGTCCCTTGAAGATGGTCCATTGGCCGAATTCTGACTACTTGAATGCGGGTGGTTGGGAGGATAGAGTGGGGATAGAACGCTGGAATCCCCAGAAGTAAAAAAGGGGACCCAAGTATAAATAATTTTTCATTCCGTATTTAAAGCGATCAGATTGCTCAAGAGCAGTGGGTCTCAACCTTCCTAATGCTGCGACCCTTTAATACAGTTCCTCATGTTGTGGTGACCCCCAACCATACAATTATTCCTAAAACCATTGAAAATATGTGTTTTCGGATGGTCTTAGGCGACCCCTGTGAAAGGGTCGTTCGACCCCCAAAGGGGTCCTGACCCACAGGTTGAGAACCACTGCTCAAGAGTCTTCATTAAACAGTTCAGTTAAAATGTTATGCCAAGTGTTATTTTAGTATTTTTTTTTTCCCACAGGGCCCCGTCCCAAATTTCAGTCGGCCAAAAAAACATGGAACAAAATTTATACAGGTAGTCCTCGACTTAAAACTGTTCATTTAGTGACCATTCAAAGTTACAACTGAAAAAAAGTGACGGATGACTGTTTTTCACAGTTACGACTGTCCCTATTGTCACGTGATCAAAACTCAGATGCTTGGCAACTGACTCGTACTTATGACGGTTGTTGTGTCCCGAGGTCACGCGAATCCCCTTTTGCGACCTCCTGACAAACAAAAATCAATGGGAGGAAGCCCAATTCATTGAACAACCATGGTTATGAACGTATCAACTGCAGGGATTCACTTAACAACTATGGCAAGGAAGGTGTTAAAATGAGGCAAAACTCACTTAACCAACATCTCACTTAACAGCAGAAATTTAGGGGCTCAATTGTGGTCGTAAGTCGAGGACTACCTGTATTGTTACAGGATGCGGCGAGCGGAAGGAGAGGGGACTGGAATAAGGCTCTCTGCCCCCTCGCTTCTCAGCATCTTAAAAAAAGATCAGCTTGTCGGATTTCGGTTAAAGCCATGTTACTTGGGGGTCAAATGTTACATGAAGTGAAACCCAGATCATCCAGAGAAAGAGAAATCGGAGGAGAGAAACCGATCTACAAAGTGGGGCGGCCTCTCATTTTTGAGGTCCACTTCCTTTTCTCCCTCTCTAGACTCCAGCTCCCAGTTGGGCAGCGGCAGTTCCGGCGGAGTGCCGTCGATGGGACCAGCTGGTTCAACGGGACACTCCCAAGGGATGGGTAAGGAAAATGGCTCCTTCCGATCCGGGGATGGCCAACCCGCTCCGGCTGTGGTGTTGGGTTTGCCCGTTTCCGGCCCTGTTGATTTCGCCTCATGCTCTGTTGTTGCTTCTCTCCAGGTAGCGGTCCCCACATGCCCCTACCCAGCCTCCCACCGGAGTTCATGCAGGCCGTTGCCCACCAGATAACGCAACAAGCCATGGCAGCGGCGGCCTCAGCAGCCACAGGTAAGCAGCCGAGGAGGAGCAGGGAAGCACATAGGTAGGTTTCAAATAATTTAAGAACCGATTCGCTCAGGGTCAGGTTGGCTATTGTGGGAGGCGTGGCCCATCCCCGTTGTCCAGCTCCACCGCACATGCGGAAAGAGCCTCCCGCGATGGCCAACCTGACCCTGGGTGAACCGGTTGTTAAATTATCCCCTTCCCCCAAATCAAAGTGGATCCTGGGCGCTGTGTTGCAATGGAGAAATGGGCAACGTAACAGCGGCACGAGGAAAGGAGGAGCAGGGAGAAGAAAGAGAGAAAGCGGCATCCTCCTTCCCTCACGCCAGCCGCTCCATTGCCCATTTCTCCATTGCAGCGCAGCACCCAGGATCCACTTCGATAGTGAGATGTGTGTGTTAATTTAACAATCGGTTCATGTAAACCGGTTCGAACCGGCTGAATCCCTCCACTGGGTAGGTACCAGAGTTCATTGAGTTGACAGTTCAAAATTACAACGGCGTTGAAAAAAAGTGACTTATGACCGTTATTGCCACTTCTGATCATTGCAGCCTTCCCGTGGTCACGTGATCCAAATTCAGACGCTTGGCAACTGACTCGTATTTATGACGGTTGCAATGTCCCGGGGTCTTGTGAATCCCCTTTTGCGACCTTCTGACAAGCAAAGTCAATGGGGAAGCCAGGCTCACGTCACAACCGTGTGATTAACTTATCAACTGCAGCGATTCACTTAACAGCTGTGGCAAGAAAGGCCGTACCAAGGGGCAAAACTCATTTAGTAACTGTCTTGCTTAGCAACCGAATTTTTGGGCTCGATTGTGGTTGTAAGTCAAGGACTTGACTTGTAGCAAGGGGTGTTCTCCCTGAAACTGGTCGCCAAAAGCTAAGCCTCCTTCTAGGGGTGCCAAGATCCTGATCATAATATAGCTAGTCCTCCACTTACGACCACAATTGAGCTGCAGATTTCTGTTGTTAAGCGAGACATTTGTTAAGTGAGTTTTTGCCTTATTTTACAAACTTCGTTGCTTCAGTTGCTAAGTGACTCCCTGTAGTTGATAAGTTCCTAGTCCGGTTGTTAAGTGAATCTGGCTCCCCCATTCATTTTTGCTTGTCAGTCTCAAAAGGGGATCTCATGACGGCCATAAGTATGAACCAGTTGCCAAGGTGCTGAATTTTGATTGCATAATCACGGGAAATGCCGCAAAGGTCGTAACTGTAAAACGGTCGTAAGTCCCTTCTCCCGGTGCTGTTGTAACTTTGAATGGTCACTAAACGAACCGTTATACGTCAAGGACTACCGTTATACTTCGCTCTCTTTTTTTGTGTGTGTATTCTAGGCCAGCAGGTCCCCAGTTTCCCATCGGCTCCGACACGCGTAGTGATTGCCAGGCCTTCTGCTCCTTCTGTGCGGCCCACCCACGCGGGGCCTCCCCAGGCCGTAGGACAAGGGGTGAGGACCCGAGGGGTGGGAGATTGGGGAGGGGGGGGGCGCGATGGCGTTTTATCTGCGGTGCTTTCCGCCTCTTGAAAAAAAACCACCCTTCTTTCCACGCAGGGCCCAGGCATGGGTGGCAATGCTTCCTTAGCCCAGATGATCAGCGGATTGGTGGGACAGCTTCTCATGCAGCCTGTGATAGTGGGTAAGTGACAACAGACAGGCAGCCCAGAGTGGGGGCTGAGGATCTTGAGATGCAAGAGTGGGTTTACAGATAGTCCTCAACTTACAACATCTCGACTAGTGGTTTTAAGTCGAGGACTACCTGTTGTAAAAAAGGTTGTAAAAAAATGCTTTCAAAAGCCTCTGACGATCTCAGCTGAGTTGCCTGATCGGCAGAGGCTTTTTTTCTTTTAAAAGCCTCTGCCGATCAGGCAACTCAGCTTGGATCGTCAGAGGCTTTTAAAAGTATTTTTTCTACAACCTCTGAAGAGGTTTATTTATTTTTATTTTATTTATTTTATTTGATTTGTATACCGCCCTACTCCTGAAGGACTCAGGGCGGTGAACAGCCAACAATAAAATACATAAATACACAAAATTTAAAAACCCGATAAAATCAAATTTTTGGCCCAGACAAATTAAATTACCCCAATAATTTAAAAACAGATTAAAATTTACATATTTTAAAAAGGGAAGAGATCAGGCCAAGCCCGCTTGATGGAATAAAAAGGTCTTCACAGCACGGCGGAAGGAGCGCAGATCCGGGATCCTCCGTATCTCCGGGGGGAGCTCATTCCAGATGGTAGGTGCCCCCACAGAGAAGGCTCTCCCCCTAGGGGCCGCCAGTCGACACTGTTTGGCTGACGGCACCCGGAGGAGTCCCTCTCTATGAGAGCGTACTGGCCGGTGGGAGGCTATTGGTGGTAGTAGGCGGTCCCGTAAATAACCAGGCCCTAAGCCTGGTTAGGTTGTAGAAAAAATGCTTTAAATTTTTTTTAAAAAAGCCTCTGATGATTGCGCGGCTCAGCTGGGCATGGGGGGGCCCCCAGGGATTTTTGCTACCAGTTCTCCGAACCACCTGCCTCCATTGCTACCGGATCGGGCGATCCGGTCCGAACCGGGAGCATTTCACCCCTGGCCTCCCCATTGATTTTGCTTGTCAGAAGGTCTCAAAAGCTGATCGTATGACCTCGGAATACGGCAACTGTCATAAATATGAGTCAGTTGCCAAGCGTCTGAATTTTGATCACACGGTCATGGGGATACTGCAATGGTCATAAGTGTGGCAAACGGTCATCAGTCCCTTTTTTCAGTGTCGTCGTAACTTTGAACGTTCACTGAGTGAACCATCGTAAGTCGAGGGCTACCTGTGTCAGAGTTGAAAATGGGCGGATTTTCTTGACCTAGAAATTTACTCCGAATGGAGGACATTGAGGGTTGTGGGGAAAAGAACAGAAAGTTGTAGGGTCCATGTCTGACCTAGGGATTGATTGTCCTTCTTGGGAAGGGAAGGGAATTGACAACGTCACCTAGGAGCCGGGGTGGCCCAGTGGTTAGAATGCAGTATTGCAGCTAACTCTGCCCGCTGCCAGCAGTTCGATCCTGACCGGCTCATGGCTGACTCAGCCTTCCATCCTTCCGAGGTCGGTAAAATGAGGACCCAGATTGTTTGGGGGAAATATGCTGACTCTGTAAACGGCTTAGAGAGGGCTGTAAACCCTGGTAAAGCGGCATATAAGTCTATGTGCCATTGTTGAGCGCTATTGCTAGAGTTAAACGAGGGATCTTGGAAAGTTTGATAGCGGACCGGGCCTCACCTGCCATCACCTTCTCTTGCTTGATCCAGCGGCCCTCTCTGTCTTGCTTTTCCAGCTCAGGGCAGCGGGGCTTCCTCGTCGACTTCTTCTTCCGTCAGCAGCCAAGCTACTTTCAGCACCAGCACCTCTGCCTCCCCTCCCACAGCCTCAGCCAGCGCTGGCACCACCAACACGGCCACGACGGCTGCAGGGGGCAGTTCAGCTGGGGCCCCGGGAGGTCCCATCCCTTCGGGCCAGACTCCTGCAGCAGCCGCCACCGAACTCCAGTTCTCTCAACTGCTGGGGAACATCCTGGGGGCGGCAGGCTCCAGCATGGCGGGGGTGGCAGGGGTGGGGTCTCCCACCATCACGGTGGCTATGCCCGGCGTGCCTGCTTTTCTGCAAGGCATGACAGACTTCCTTCAGGTGAGTTCTCCTCTCCTCTCCCCTCCCTGTTTTCCTTTGCCCTCTCCTCTCCTCTCCTCTCCTCTCCCCTCCCCTCCCCTCCCCTCCCCGTTTTCCTTTCCCTTCTCCTCTCCTCCCTTTCTGTTTAATCTGGCCTTGTTTCCTGGACATTTTGGGACTATCATTGTGGACTCCTCAGCCTTATTTGTACCATTATCCCAGAGTTTTGGATGTACCTAAGGTCCAAGCTTCTTGCGCTGCGAGATTCCCTCCTCTCGCAGGTTTGGCCCTCCACGTTATCGAGGGCCTATCTTGATGACGGGTTTTGGAACCCCGAGAGATGGCATACCTCAAAGAGGAGATTAAGGGGTTTTTTCTCTGTGGGAGCACCAGCCCTTTGCAATGAGCTGCCCCTAGAGCTTGGTCTTAGCCCCGACCTGTGTACTTTTCGCCGTGCCCTAAAGACCTTCCTGTTTCAGCAAGCCGATCTGGCCTATTATGAATTTTAAGTGGGCGTATGTGTGTTTTAATTTGAGGGCCAAATTGTATATATTTGTTTTAATTGGTTTTAAATTTTATAAATTCATGTATTTTAATGTGGCTGTACACCGCCCTGAATCCCCTGGGAGAAGGGTGGTATAGAAATCCAATAAACTCTAAACTCTCTCCCCTTCCCTTCCCTTCCCTTCTTTCTTCTCCCCTCTCTCCTTTCCCTTCCCCTCTCATCCCTTCTTTTTCTCTCTCTCTCCTCCCCTCTCCCCTTCCCCTGCCCTCCCCTTCTTTCTCCCTCTCCCTCTCCCCTCCCCTCCCTTCTCTCTCTCTCCCCTCTCCCGTCCTTTCCCTCGCCTCACTTTCTCTCCTGCCTTACATTCTCTCATATTTTTTCTCTCTCATTCTTTTTTTTTCTTTCTTCCTCCCTCCCAAATAGTTGCCTCCCCTCCCCTTCCTGTTTTCCTTCACCTTTCTGTTTTCCTTCTCCCCTTCCAGTTTTCCTTCCCCTTCTCCTCTCCTCTCCTCTCCTCTCCTCCCGTTCTCTCCCCTTCCCTTCCCTTCTTTCCTCTCCCCTCTCAGCTTTCTCTTCCCCTCTCTTCCCTTCTCTTTCTCTCTCCTCCCCTCTCCCCTCCCCTCCCTTCTCTCCCCTCTCCTTTCCCTTCTTTCCTCTCCCCTCTCCCCTTTCCCTTCCCTTCTCTTTCTCTCTCCTCTCCTCTCCCCTTCCCCTCCCCTCCCCTTCTTTCTCCTTCTCCCCTCCCCTCCCTTCTCTCTCTCTCTCTCTCTCCCCTCTCCCTTCCTTTCCCTCGCCTCACTTTCTCTCCTGCCTTTCATTCTCTCTCATATTTTTTCTCTCGTTCTTTCTTTTTCTCTCTCTTTTTCTTCCTCCCTCCCAAATAGTTGCCTTTCTTTGTTTTAGCTTGGAGAAGGAGCATTTCAAGAAGGACCGTCTGAATGACAGCAGCCTGTCTGGCCTGCTAGGTCAACCCCAACCGAGTCCCTGAGCCAACACTAAGCCACAAAGCACCTGCATTTGGCATCCCAAATCTGGGGGTTTTTTTGGGGGTGGGTGGGTGTCTCGTTAGTTCCGTTTTCCTTTCTTCAAATCATTATTGGTCTGAAGATGATGGGCCTGAGCCCAGCTTTGTGAGAGAAATCTCTCGATGGGTATCCTATCCTCAGATGGTTCCCTTAGAAATCTTATTGCCAAATTCTCTGGATTCCCGTCTGTCTTTCAAGACTCACTCCCTTCGTTCAGCCTTTCCTCTCTTTTGAACTGAAAGAAGCTGGGCCTTGAGGCCTTCCAACATTACTGCCGCTCTTTCCAAGCACCCGTCTCTTTTCCTTCTTTTTTCTCCCAGGCGACGCAGATGGGAGGCCCCCCCAAACCCTCCTGAGCAGATGGCGCCTCCTCCGCAACCAGCTGCTTCTCCTTCGCCCCCTCCTCCCTCGGCCCCCCAAAGTGGACCGGAGGGATTCTCGGCCGGCCTGGGCAGCGGTGGCCATGGCGTCCGTGGGGGCGCCTCAGCAGATGCTTTGCCTCCCGAGTTCTTCACCAGCGTGGTCCAGGGGGTGCTGTCGTCCATGATGGGCTCCCTCAGCGCCCAGCAAGGCAGCACGGAGAGTATCGCCGACTTCATCCAGCGCCTCAGCGGCACCAGCAACATCTTTGAGCCGGGCACAGAAGGCGCTCTGGGTAAGGCCTATGTGGTTGCTCCGGCAACGGGGAGCGATCAAGTGGGATAAAACTGACTTCTTGTCCTAAGGATTCAGCAGCCCATTGAATTCTCTAATGCAGGCGGTCCTTGACTTAGAACAGTTCATTTAGTGACTGTTCAAAGTTACAACAGCACTGAGAAAAAGTGACCCACGGCGCCATTTTTCTCACAGTGCCATTTTTTCTCACGACCGTTGCAGCCTCCCCATTTTGGTCACGTGATCCAACATCAGACAGTTGCCAACCGATTCACATTTATGACGGTTGAAGCGTCCCAGGATCACGTGGTCACCTCTTGGCGATCAATGGGGAAACCAGATTCACTTAACAACCGCCTAACTCACTTAACTACCACGATTCACTTAACAACCGAGGCAAGAAAGGTCCGTACCATGGGGTAAAACTCACTTCACCCATGTCTCGCTGAGCAACATCCATTTCTGGGCTGAATTGTGGTCGTACGTTGAGGACTACCTGTACTTGCCTTCTTAATTCCTCATATCTTAATGGGTCTTTCATTGAAGAATTTTTTAAAGAGTACGTAAGGCCCGGCCTCTCCCCCTTATTCAAGAAAGGGCCTCTCAACAGTCTGATGTGGATTCAGCCAATCCACAGATGCGAAGGTGTTATTGTACCGGCTGCTCTGAGAAAGAGATAAGGGAACTTTTTCAGGGTCATCCTCTCTTTCCCTCGCCCCCCCCTCTCGGGGGATGAAATCCATATGGACCTCCCTCCCCTTACATTCCCCAATAGGTGAGAAAATGCATCTAGGCGCCAGGCTAGAAAGTATAAATCAATAAATTGCAGGATACAGGAGATTACAGATTAACAGAGTTGGAAGGGACATAATATAGGTCATTTAATCGAACCCCTCCTCCCTCAAGCAGGAGACCCTACACCATTTCTGACAAATGGCAGTCCAATCTTTTCTTGAAAGCCTCCAGTGATGAAGCTCCCACAACTTCCGAAGGCAACTTCTGTTCCATAGGTTGGTTGTTCCCACTGTCAGAAAATTTCTCCTTATTTCCAGGTTGAATCTCTCCTTGGTCAGTTTCCATCCATTATTCCTTGTCTGGCCTTCAGGTGCCTTCGAAAATAGCTTGACCCCCTCCTCTCTGTGGCAGCCCCTCAAATATTGGAACACTGCTATCGTGTCTCCCCTGGTCCTTCTCTTCACTAGACTAGCCATGCCCAGTTCCTGCAACCGTTCTTCATATGTTTTAGCCTCCAGCCCCCTAATTATCCTGGTTGCTCTTCTCTGCACTTTTTCTAGAGTCTCAACATCTTTTTTATAGTGTGGTGACTATTGGGGAGAAAGCCATCAAGTATGAATGCAATATGAAACGCAGGGGTCCCCCTCTTCCCCCTTGAGAAATGGCACATTCACATTCAGTTGTCTTCACTGGCTCTTCTTTTGTTATTTTCCCCGTGGGATGATCCTTGGACTGAAAGGTCCTTCTTTCCTTTTCCCAGTCAAGTTCTCTCTGCTGCTGCTGTTGTCTTCCAGTGGTCAATCAATCAATCAGAATAGAGCTGGAAGGGACCTTAGAGGTCTTCTAGTCCAACCCGCTGCTTCATTCATTCATTCATTAATTTAATTAATTTTACATTATTTTTAGCCTTTTAGATCATTTTTATTTTTGTATATATTTTTTTTCCTGCTTTTAAATTTCTCGTACGTAGCCTCCTCATGCCGGCCTTTGACTGTACTAAAGGTTGATTTGATTTAAATGGCAACTGGGCTACCACAAATATATCAGCCTGTTTTCTTACGTTGGAATAAAATCACAGAATCACGAAGAAAGAAAAGGAGCCCTTCTGAATTGGGAAATCTGCCTCTGTTCCATGACCACAAACCTCTCTGTCAGATCTGTGAATGTGAATGTGCTCAAGCAGGAGACCCTATACCAGTGATGGCTATTATATGTCACCCATATGTGTGTCGGGGTAGGCTAAATCCTGGAGGTATACTACTAGGACTGATATGGTCGGAGACATCTTGGGGGGGAACAGCTATTCCACGCCTCCATCCACTTTTCTGTGGTGTTCTGATGATGATTTTAATACTGTTTTAATACTGTGTGTGACCAACTATACGCTAAATAAATAAGTGATGGCTAACCTTTTCCGGACCAAGTGCCCAAAGCGTGCGTGTGCGAATGCAATAAATGCATTCGTACACGCATTTATAAATAAATGTGAAAATAAATGCGTGGGTGGGCCTCACAGAAGGAGCAGAAGGCCTGGCAATCACTACGCGTGTCGGAGCCGATGGGAAACTGGGGACCTGCTGGCCTAGAACACACACACAAAAAAAGAGAGCGAACGTATAACGGTAGTCCTTGACGTATAACGGTTCGTTTAGTGACCATTCAGAGTTACAACAGCACTGGGAGAAGGGACTTACGACCGTTTTACAGTTACGACCTTTGCAGCATTCAAAATTCAGCCCCTTGACAACTGGTTCATACTTACGGCCGTCATGAGATCCCCTTTTGAGACTGTCAAGCAAAAATGAATGGGGGAGCCAGATTCACTTAACAAACCGGACTAGGAACTTATCAACTGCAAGGAAGTCACTTAGCAACTGAGGCAAGAAAAATCGTAAAATAAGGCAAAACTCATTTAACAAGGGCCTCACACTTAAGTACAAGTGGCAAATCGAATCATATCAACCTTTTTTACTGGCATGCGCAGCAGAGCTGAACTGGGGCGACTGCTTGCGTGCCATCAGAGGGGGTGCTGCATGCCACCTGTGGCATGCGTGCCATAGGTTCGCCATCACGGCCCTAAACCATAACCATTTCAGAAAAGCGGTTGTCCAGTCTCTTCTTAAAAGCCTCCAATAATGAAGCACCCACCAGGGAAGCTGTTCCACTGGTTAATTAATTAATTGTCCTCACTGTCAGGAAGTTTCTCCTTAATTCTAGGTGGCTTCTCCCCTTGATTAGTTTCCATCCATTGTTTCTTGTCCTGCCTTCTGATGCTGTGGAAAATAAGTTGACTCCTCCTCTTCTTTGTGGCAGCCCGTCAAATACTGGAATATTGCTATCATGTCACCCCTAGTCCTTCTTTTCTCTAGACTAGCCAAACCTAATTCCTGCCACCGTTCTTCATATGTTTTAGTCTCCAGGACTTCCATCATCGTAGTTGCTCTTCTCTGCATTTTTTCCCCAAAGTCTCAACTTTTTTTTTTTTTTTTTTTTTTGGTAACACAGTGACCAAAACCGGATGCAGTATTCCAGGTGTGGTCTTAACGAAGGCTTTGTATTTATTTATTTATTTATTCATTCATTCATTCATTCATTCATATTTCTATGCCGCCCACTCTCTGAGGACTCTGGGCGGTTTACACCAAAGACAGTATACTAAATAGCATATTGCCCCCTAACAATCTGGGTCCTCATTTTACCCACCTCGGAAGGATGGAAGGCTGAATCAATCTTGAGCCGGTGAGATTTGATCTGCTGAACTAGCAGTCAGCTGAAGTAGCTGCAGTACAGCACTCTAACCACTGCGCCACCTCGACTCAACTTATAAAGCGGCAATGATCCCACTAGCCTGGACCAGGACTTTGAGGGGCCTGTGACACTTGACCCCCCACTCTTTATTTTTTTGCTCCTCTTCGTTTTGCAGGCTTCTTTGGAGACCTCCTGTCTTTGATCTGCCAGAACTTCTCCATGGTGGATATGGTGATGCTGCTTCACGGCCAGTTCCAACCTCTGCAACGGATTCAGCCCCAGCTCAGCCGCTTCTTCCGGGAAGAGTACCTGCACGGCCAGGAGCCCACCGACCGCAACGTCCGGGTGAGATGAGCTTTGTTAGGAAATGAGTATTACCTACCTTGTTGGGTTGGCAATATATAAACCATCAATATAGCTTTAAGACTGCTGTATTGCATCATACTGTGTCCTGATTGGTTAGCTCTGTAGCCAATCTCCTTAAGAGGGAGCTAGAAACATGGTTTGTTTCTCTTTGCTGTTCTTGCTCTCTGATATCTCTGTATGCTACTGTTTGCAAATCCAGAAGAACTGTTTATTGTGAATGACTACGACGACTGGTAAGAAGACTTTGTTATTGGATTATCCCTGGACTCTCGTTTTGCTATCTCTTGCTTTATATGTGTATGACCTGGACTGTTTATTGGACTGTGCCTTACTATTTCCTGAAAGTAAACACAACTCAGTGTATCTGTGTGTTGACTGTGCTTATTCGTATCTACTCTCAATCGCTTTCATGTACACACCCTTGCTATTCAAGGGTTACTCTGCAAATTCCTTAACAAGCTTCTTCTCACCCGGGTGTTCCTTCTCCAGCTTTTTATCTGCTGCTCAGGTGAATAATTTGCCTTCTCTTTTGGGTTTTTTCAGATGGCCACCTACAGTTTGATTAACGGTTTGGAGGAATACGTCCGGGAGAGTTTTGTAAGTTTGAGTCCACTTTTTCCTTCCTCTGCTTTGATGGAGCTGTGTGGTTTGGGCTGGGGAATGGGAAGCGCAACCGGGCACTCAGCTTGTGGAGATGAAAGTGTTTACTGCCACGGTGGCGCAGTGGTTAGAGTGCAGTACTGCAGGCTACTTCTGCTGACTGTTGGCTGCCTGCAATTTGGCAGTTCAAATCTCACCAGGTTCAAGGCTGACTCAGCCTTCCAACAACCGGTTCTGTGAGAATGCGCTTCGGGCGCATTGCGCGCACGCACGCCTAACGCGCTTGCGCGCAGCGTTCAAAAGACAGCAATTTGAAGCTCAGCTGCTTACCTTCTAAGGCAGCCCCGGTATGTAGAACAGCGGATGTGCGGAAATCAGCTGAGCCAGAAAGAAGGCAATATAGGACAGGATGGGGGGGGGGGGGGCAGGCGGGTCCATCTGATCGTCAGAACTATTGGTTCGCCTGAACCGGTCCGAACCAGCAGCAGCCCACCACTGGTTGTATGTCAAGGACTAGCTATAACCATGGTCAGACTGATATGCTCTTTCCTTTACTCTTTAAAAGCAGAAGTTCTGCTCCGAGGCAAGTTGGCTTTTTTTCATTTGGAAAAGAAAAAAAGTGCTTTTTTTTTTTTTTTTTGCTTTGATTTATATGCTGTCCTTCTCCGGAGACTCAGGGCGGCTTACAATGCGTTAAGCAATAGCCTTCATACTTTTGTATATTTTATACAAAGTCAGCTTATTGCCCCCACAAACTGGGTCCTCAATTTACCTACCTTAGAAAGGATGGAAGGCTGAGTCAACCTTGAGCCTGGTGAGATTTGAACTTACAGTAATTGCAGACAGCTGGTGTTAATCACAATGCTATCAGTCTGCTGAGCCACCAGGCTATTGAATGCCCACTTAACCCTGTACATCTGGTCAGCTGTGCAATGCCGTGGGTCAGAAATTCCCTACAAATTAAATTTGCCCTCATTTTTCAGGCACCCTGTGTTGTTGTTCTTTTCGAGGCCCCCCCCCGCCCCCCTCCCCGCCCCCGAAAAACAGTCGCGATACTCTGCACTTATAAAAGCTGCACCCAGAACTTTTTTAACTTCTATTTTAGGACAATAATTCCAGATTTGCTCTCGGTCTGTTACCTGGTTGTTTTTTTTTTTTTCCTTTCCCCCCTTTAGGCCTCGGTCCAAGTCCAAGATGGAGTTGACATTACCCGCACCAATTTGGAGTTCCTGCAGGAGCAGTTCAACCGAATTGCCACGCATATCTTGCACTGCACCGGTAAGAAGTCGGCCAGAGCGGAAGGAGGCTTTCCTGGAAGAGAGAGAGAGAACGATGAACTCGCTTTTTTCTAATCACCTTTGTAACTTTTTGGTTCTAGATCACACCTTTGGCTACCGACTGCTTGAGCTGTGTAACCAGGGCCTCTTTGAGTGTTTGGCGCTGAACCTTTACTGCTTGCGAGGGGAACAGACGGCCCTCACCACAGTCATCAATGACCGCATTGTGAGTGACAGACAGATCGGGCAATTGCCCTGTTTTGAAGAGGGCCTCTTTAATCAATCAACTAAGACAGGGGTCTCCAACCTTGGCAGCTTTGCTGGCTGAGGAACTCTGGGCGTTGAAGTCCACAAGTCTTAAAGTTGCCAAGGTTGGAGACCCCTGAACCAAGATGATTACTTTTACTTTACTTTTTACTTTTATTTGATTTATATACCGCCCTACTCCCGAAGGACTCAGGGCGGTGAGCAGCCAACAATAAAATACATACATACAAAATCTAAAAAGCAGAAATAAAATCGAATTAAATAGTTTGGCCCAGACAGATTAAAAACCCCAATCAATTTAAAACAAATTAAACTTTGAATATTAAAAATATTAAAAAAAATAAAAATTATTTTAAAAAGAGGGAGAAAATTAGGCCAGGCCCGCCTGGTGGAATAAAAAGGTCTTAAGAGCGCGGCGGAAGGTGCGCAGATCCGGGATCCTCCGTATCTCCGGGATTAAAAGCCCTGAAGACTAAAACATATGAAGAATGGTTGCAGCGACTAGGTTTGGCTATAGTCTAGAGCAGTGGTTCCCAAACTTCTTCAGTCTACCGCCCCCTTGGTACTACAAACTCATCCTCAGTGCCCCCACCACCACCCAGGGGTGGGTTCTACTTGCCTTTACTACCGGTTTGCAGCGGGGCCACGCGCACGCACTCACTTTGCTCGCGCGTGCATGCGCTCTTCTGCACATGCGCAGAGGCGTTTTGGTGATGTCGGGGTCAATGGGCAGGGCCTCCTGCCGGTTTTACTACTGGTTCTATAGAACCGGTGAGAACCAGGGCAACCCACCACTGCCCCCCCCCCTATAAATAAATAAATAAAATAAAAGAGCCTTGGTAGTACCGTGGTCTAAAGCACCCTGTTATTAAGACCAGCTGCCTGCAATTACTGCAGGTTCGAATCTCCCCAGGCTCAAGGTTGACTCAGCCTTCCATCCTTTCTAAGGTAGGTAAATTGAGGACCCAGTTTGTGGGGGCAATAAGCTGACTTTGTTTAAATATACAAAAGGATGAAGGCTATTGCTTAACACACTGTAAGACGCCCTGAGTCTCCGGAGAAGGGCGGCATATAAATCAAATTAAAAAAAAAAAAATAGCATTGTTTGGAATAGCGGTTTGCACGACCCACTAAGGAAGATAGTAAGAGTAAAATACACAGAATACAGCCATTTTTTGGCCTCCTGAAGCCTTGCTCCGTATGTCCCATTTTTGTGAAAAACCGGAAGGTCAGCTTTTCTGGAGCGCAGTCCCTTCGCACACACCATAGTGCTGAAAACTGGCCTGCACATGCACGCCGGCCAGCTGATCGTCGGGCGCTAGAACCTGGAAGTTCAGCTTTTCCAGATCACGGCACCGATGAGCACGTGCGACGTTTCCGCGCTACCTTTTCGGTTTGCCATCACTGGTCTAGAGAAAAGAAGGACTAAATATGAGCCAGTTGCCAAGCATCCGACTATGGCAGTGATGGCGAACCTTTTCGGCACTCAGTGCCGAAAAGGGAGCACTTCGTGCACGCTCGTCAGGGCCACGATCAGGAAGAGGAGCTGCCCAGGGAACATGCACGCACCAGAGAAGGTACTTCTGGGTTCCAGGGCACACATGCGTGCCGGCCAGCAAGTCTTCCGGTTACTGCCACACATGCGCACCCGCCAATCAGCTGGCCCGCGCACATGCTCACGCCGGAAAACAGAAGACCAGCTCTTCCTGTTTCTGGCACACCCGCATGCACAAAGGCCAGCTGATTGTCATGTGTGCATGCGTGCCAGAAACCCGGAAGAGGAACGGGCCAACGAACCTAGCAACGTGAAATATTGGGCTCAATTGTGGCTGTATGTCAAGGACTACCTGTATATCCGACTCACCAGTACAGGTAGTCCCTTGATGACTGTTACGATGGACTTGGAAAGAATTATTTACACCTTCTCTCCTCCCCTCCTCTCCTCTCCCCCCTCCCCTCCTCTCTCCTCTCCCCTCCTCCTCTCCCTCCTCCTCTCCCCCTCTCCTCTCCCTTCCCCTCCTCTCCCTTCCCTCCCTCACCTCCTCTCCCCCCTCTTCTCTCCCTCCCCTTCCCTCCTCTCACTCTCTCCTCTTCCTTCCCTTCCTTTCTTATCCCTTCCCCTCCCTTCCCTCCCCTCCCCTCTCCTCCCTCCCCTTCCCTCCTCCCCTCTCTCCCCCCATCCTCTCCCTTCCTCTTCTCTCATCTCTCCTCTCCTCTCCTCTTCCTCCTCTCCTTTCCCCCTGCCCTGCTCTCTTCACCTTCCCTCCCCTCTCCCCAGAGGCGGATGTCGGCAGACATGAACCCGTCCTTGGTGAGCTGGCTCACCACCATGATGAGCATGCGCCTGCAAGTCATCCTGGAGCACATGCCAGTCACAGAGGAACAGATCTTGCAATATGTCCGCAGAGTGGGCGACCTCCCACAGGTAAGGGACCTGGGGAAATCCATGGGAGGAAAGCGCAGGGAAAGTAAATTCCCCAGAGCTTTGGGGACTGGCAGCCATGGCCAAAGCGGAGCCTATCTTTCAACTGGCAAGGTAAGGCACGGGGCACAGAGGTGACTACATGGACGAGTCCTTCCGTAATCTTTGCACTGGAATTGGCCTAAGAACTTCAATTATGCTAGTAGAAGGAGCTGGTAGTGCTTCATTTTGGTGGACGTTGGAGTGGAGAATGCCTGGAAGTGTTTTTTGGTGATAGGATCAGCCCTTGTGGAATAGTCGCTTGTTGGAGGTCCATCAGTTTCCAACATTGAGTTGTGAGCTTCCCAGAGTTGTTTGCTGAGATAAAGGTTCCCCTCACACAAATGTGCTAGTCGTTCCCAACTCTAGGGGACAGTGCTCATCTCCGTTTCAAAGCCAAAGAGCCAGCACTGTCCGAAGACGTCTCCGTGGTCATGTGGCCGGCATGACTAAATGCCAAAGGCACACAGAACGCTGTTACCTTCCCACCAAAGGTGGTCCCTATTTTTCTACTTGCATTTTTTTAACGTGCTTTCAACCTGCTAGGTTGGCAGAAGCTGGGACAAGTAGTGGGAGCTCACTCCGTTATACCTGGCACTAAGGATTCAAACCGCTGAACTGCCGACTTTTTGATCGACAAGCTCAGCGTCTTAGCCACTGAGCCACCATGTCCCTTGTTAAAATATAAGCAGCTATAAAAATCAATCAATCAATTAATCAAAAACCTTCCATAAAAAAATTAAAACAGCTTTTCCAGGAATTTTTTTTGGGGGGGTGAGGGGTGTCTCCCCTGTATTGATTGGGACATTTTAACCTAGTTATAAGATTTATTATGATTATGTTTCCTTTTATTGTGAACTTGTCTTGTGATGAGATACAAATCAGTAAGTAAGCCAGTAGTAGCATGAGCCTTGTGATAATGGAGCATGGGTGCTGAGGTGTGGTTAGGCAGTTGTCCATAAAATCCAGAGAAAATTTGGAGTGCGTCATTGTTATGGTGACTATTGGAAAAAGATAAAAGAACAAAACCAGAAAAGGGACAGATTTGAAGGCGCTTCATAAGGATAAAGAAATGTTAACGTTTTTGTGTTTATAACCTGGCTTTAAAAGGAAAAAAAAAAAACTCTAGCAAAACCAAGAAAAACTTCACAAACACGCATCCTCTAATGAAAATATCTAAAGATCAAACAGTAAAGGTCAATTTATTTTAAAAATGACCTAAATAAAGATCAAAGGTGAATTACAAACAAACAAACAAAAAATCTAAAGGACAGCTTTCTGAAATAAAGGACAGTTCCTTTATAATAAAGGACACAAGATCACTGTAATCATAGCATATCTTTTACCTTTTTTTTTTTTTTAAAATAACGTTCAACTTTTCGTTGCAATCACACCCTTTGGAAACTGGTTTAAGGTTCAGTATGGTCCTACAGCAGGGATGTCAAACGCAATTTCATTGAGGGCCGCTTCAGGGTTGTTTTTTACCTCAGAGGTGTGTATGGTTGGGGATGGGTGTGGCCCGGGGCAGGCCTCTCAGAGCTCTGTTTTGGCTGGCAGAGGCACCACGGACCGGTCCTTTGCTGTTTCCAGGCCGGCCCCGCAGACCAGAATTTGACAACCCTGTCCTATAGCATAGTAGTGCTTTTCTTCTAAGAAGTTGGCTGTGAGCCAGAGCAGGGTCCAGAAAAGGAAGATGGCAGGGAAAGGCCCAGAGTGCACTGCAGGGGCTTTGATAACCTTCTTTTTCCTTGCACCTTCTCAGCCTGCTCCCGAAGAGCCCATGGACGTCCAGATTGCAGAACAGGCTCCAGAGACCATACAGGTATGGAGTGGGAGGGGCTTTTTAGCACACTTCCGGGCCCGTCTGTGCGACGGATGTGTTTCTTGCACAAGTGTTGAGATCATCGTAGAGCTTGGAAGGTGTAGGTGATGATCAGCATCTCTTGAGACCTTCTGGTTTCTTTCAAAATGTGGGGTGCATTACGATTGGGGATCCTTACGGTGAGGTGCTGCTTCTACAGTGCAGACAATAGAATGAGGTTTTCTCATCTGAAACATTAAATAAAAACCCCTCGTCAGTCAATGGGAGTATTGATTTACCACCAACCTATCAAGTACAGTAGAACGTCTGGTCACGAATGCTTCTGACCATGACCAACTCAGGTTCAGCCAAAAAATTCACAATTTTTTTTTTTTTTGCGGCTGATTTCCGTGCCATTTTTTTCTTTTTAAGCTTCAAATTTCCAAAATTAGGTTCAGGTCACGACCAAATCAGGTTGCAACCAAAGTTACGGAACGAATTATGGTCGTGACCAGAGGTTCTACCGTATTTAGAAGGTGAAGGGCTGGGCAGCACAAGCAAACGACAGCCAACGATTTAAAAGCCAGCCATTAACCCACCCCATTCAGCATCTAAAAAGCCAAATACTGCAGGCGCCGTATAAATACCACATACTCTGCTAGAGAGAAGTTCCCTGAGGATGGGCTCCAGCACAGGTGCGAAAGCTTGGAAGATAAAACTTCTGGTCTCAGTGATTGACCCAGATTGGATCCTGCATTAAAGAAAAGGAACAGAACTTTTCAGTCAGGTCTTCTTGGTCTGTCATTTGGCCTTAGTTAACCAGTAAAAACATAGACACGACAATCCAAACAAGTCTAGAAAAAGCGACAACAATCATTAAAACCAAAACCAGAGCATCACCCATGGCAGCATTTCTCAACCTTGGCAACTTTAAGATGGCTGGCCGAGGAATTCTGGGAGTTGAAGTCCATACATCTTAAAAGTTGCCAAGGTTGAGAAAGACTAGCCTAGGGTGTCAACCATCCCATTGGCATATATAGCAAAAGAAACTCTTGGGACATTATTTTACCAAGAGGATAACTTCACTGATAGATCCATATAGGCACAGTAGAAGCAAAGCCAGTTCTGAAGTTTTCACGCAAAAAGCTGCATAGTTAAAAATCCCTCTCCCTCTCGTCAGGCAATGCAGCTTATAAAACTGAGGTATCTCAATTGCTCCTGTCACCGCATTGTGGGACAGCCTGAATAGACTTCAAGGCAAGCCCCAAGTAGACCATGTTGCAACAGCTCAGTCTGGCTCCTTCAACGCTCTTCAGTGCATCCCTGCTTTTCTTCTCTTTTGCAGCGAGAGACTGCGGCCTCCCCGGCCCCAGCCACGACAGCAGAGGAAGCCATGCCCCAGCAGCGAGGGGAGCCGGAACGTGAGGAATTGCAGCAGGGGGAGCCCCCCGCCCCCGATGTGGAGCCCTGGGCCGCTGCTGTGCCCCCCGTGAGTTCCCTTGGATGGGAAAAGGGGCAAGGGAGGGATGGAGGATCCCATCTAGTGCAGAGCACATTGCAGGGGGTGAGAGATCCTTGGTACTCTTTTAGTTTGCTTGTTTTCTTGCAGACCTTTCATTACCTAAACTAGGGAACAGAGCCGGGGTGGCGCAGTGATTACAATGCAGTATTATAGGCTAACTCTGCTGACTGCCAGCAGTACGGCAGTTTGATTCTCACCAGCTCAAGGTTGACTCAGCCTTCCATTCTTCCGAGGTCGGTAAAATGAAGACCCAGGTTATTGGGGGCAATAGGCTGACTGTTGTGGCCCGTCAGCGGCCTGTGCGGATTGTAGCTGATTCTGACAGCGAGGAGGCTGGTGTGGTGTTGCGCCAGCAGCCTGTGCAGCTGGCACTCGAGGCGGACAGTGAGGAGGCTGGAGAAGATGTGGTGCCGGAGGCAGGGATTCAGCCAGGGCCTTCAGAACCTCCAGAAGCTCCTTTAAGTGAAGAGGACGAAGAGGAGCAGCCTCTTCTCAAAGCACGGGTCCATAGAGCTGCCAAAAGGCAGGAGTGGGTCCTCAGGAGGAAGTCCCCTCGAGAGTAAGGCTTGGGGCTAATTGGCCACTCCCTTAGCCTATTTAAGGAGGAACGCCAACTGAAGCAATTTGTAGGGAACAACTTTAGTTCGCTCTCCTTCGCGTCTGGATTCTCTGCAAATTGCTTCTGGGCTTTCTGCCAACCATAGTAAGATTGTGATTATCTTTGATTTCTTGTAGGCTGTTAAGGAAGTTTATTAACAGCCTTTGTTTGACAAAGACCGAGTTATTTTAGTAAATTAAGTTTTGTAAAGAATTTGTGTGTGCTGTGTTCTTTGGCGTCCGTAGCTGGGGCAGAACACTGACTCTGTAAACCGCTTAGAGCAACAGTCCCCAAACTTTCCAGCTTCATGGCTGGCCAGGTGGCGGGGGAGGGGCATGGGAGTGGCAGCTGCTCATGTGCATGACCGCAGCTCCATTTGTGCGTGGGCCCTCCACTGATGCGAACGGAGGTTCGCGTGCGAGCAGAGGGTGCTTGCGCTCGTGTGCGGCGCTCCAGTTGCGTGAATGGAGGGCACTTGTGCTTGCGTGTCAAGCTCCACTCCATTTCTCCCACAGCCTGATTTCAAACAGGCCGTGGCTCGGTCAGTGAGCCGTGGCTTTTGGATTCGGGACCCCTGCCTTAGAGAGAGCCCAGTGAAGCGATATATACCGTGTTTCCCTGAAAATAAGACCCAGTCTTATATATATATATATATATATATATATATATATATATATATATATATTGCCTTCAAAAGGGGCACCAGGTCTTATTTTGGGGGGATGTCTTACCCGCTTACCTTAGGACCACTGCAGCCAGGCCATGCCCCGACACCTATTGCGCCATTGCTTGACTTCTTCTATGGATGCTTGTGCCTGGACGCTGTGTAGCTTGTTGTGCCGGTGCCGCTACTCACTGCAGGAGGCCGTGTGGCACCTTGTGCTGGTGCCGCCGCTTGCGGCAGGAGGTCACATGGGGTGTTGTGCCGTTGTGTGTACGAGCGGTGGCACTGACGCGATGCGCCATGTGCCCAACTGTGAGCGACCGCAGAAGAAATCGGGCAGCGGTGTGACAGGTGTCAGGGTGTGGGAGACCGGGCTGTGGCAGTCCTAAGGTAAGCAGGTGCGGGGCGCGTGAGGCAGCTCCACCCCACTACCCTTCCCTAGCTTGATTTTTTTTTTTTTGCGCAAAAAGTTATTTTTTTTTTTCAACGCACAAATTACATCTTTTTGGAACAGCCCTGATCCGGTCATCAATTTATACCATTTTTCTTTTCCATCGTTAACAAAATTTTATATATACTGCTCAAAAAACTAAAGGGAACACAAGCAGAAGACATCCGAGATTTGAATGAATGAAATAGCCTTATTAAATACTTTGTTCGTTACATACAATAGTTTTATGTTCCCTTTAGTTGTTTGAGCAGTGTATTTCATTTTGCCGTAACGCTTATTTCTTAATCTTAAATCGCCTCTCTCAACTAATACCATCTTAAAAAATTTACTCAAATCTTTAAAAAAAAGAACATTTACCCTTTTATTACAACCCCCCCCCCTTTAATCTTAGTCACTATTAACAACACTTCATCTTAAATCATCAATCTCCCCTATTAGCATCTTAAACATCTGTCCTGCCATCTGGTTATATGAGGTGGGGCGAGGCGCATGCGTAAAAATCAAGCTAGGGTTTAAGATGTTTAAGGTAGGCCCATTTTTCTTTCTTACCTGATTCCAGATCCTTTCTATGCATCTGGGAAGGTCGAAAACAGCCTTTCCCACTCCCTTGGAGGCCCTACGGAGGCTGAAAGGGCCCATTTCCCGACTCTCTGTGGGACAGGAAGTGATGTTTTTTGCTGTCCCCAGCCTCCAGAACCTCTCTAGGAGTCTCTAGGAGCCTCTCTAGGAGTCTCTGGAGGCTGGGGACAGGAAAAAACGTCACTTCCTGTCCCACCGGGAGTGGGGAAATGGGCCCTTTGAGCCTCCATAGGGCCTCCAAGGAAGTGGGAAAGGTTGTTTTCGCCGTTCCCAGATACACAGAGAGGATCTGGAGCCAGGTAAGAAAAACAAAACAAAAACAAAAACAAAACAAAACAAAACAAAAAAAACGGGCCTTTCCCCCACTCCCAGGCCCTCCAGAGGCAGGAAACAGCCTGTTTCCCTACTTCTGGTGGGCCCAGAAGGCCCGAAAATCAGCTGGCCGGTGCGTGCATGCCCCAGAGCTGAGCTGGCATGCCCACTAATATGGCTCCGCGTGCCACCTGTGGCACGCGTGCCATAGGTTCACCATCATGGCTCTAGCACATACAACTTCAATAAGCACCATATAAATCTCACATACAGAACAGCACACATTCTGCTAGAGAAAAGTTCCCTGAGAATGGGCTCCAGCACGAGTCAGAAAGCTCGGAAGACAAAACCTCTGGTCCTGGTGACCGACACAGACTGGATCCTGCAACAACCAGTAATTTCTTTGGTATCCCATTCCTTACAAGGAATATGGGTGATCCACATATATGCCTCATCAATGAAAATTCTAATCAAGAGAATTTTTTTTTTTTTAATTTGATTTATATGCCGCCCTTCTCCGGAGACTCAGGGCGGCTTACAATGCGTTAAGCAATAGCCTTCATTCTTTTGTATATTTTATACAAAGTCAGCTTATTGCCCCCACAAACTGGCTCCTCATTTCACCTACCTTAGAAAGGATGGAAGGCTGAGTCAACCTTGAGCCTTGGAGAGATTCGAACCAGCAGAAATTGCAGGCAGCTGTGTTAATAACAGGGTGCACTAAACCACTGTACTATCAAGGCTCTTTCACTTAAATTTCACTTAAAGAATAAAGCAAACAGTCTCTGGAGGCTGGGGACAGGAAAAAACGTCACTTCCTGTCCCACCGGGAGTCGGGAAATGGGCCCTTTCAGCCTCCGTAGGGCCTCCGAGGGAGTGGGAAAGGCTGTTTTCGCCCTTCCCAGATCCATAGAAAGGATCTGGAGCCAGGTAAGAAAGAAAAACGGGGCTTCCCCACCCCCTACCAGGCCCTCCAGAGGCAGGAAACAGCGTGCCACAGGTTCACCATCACGGGGGTAGGGTCTTATTTTTGAGATAGGACTTATATTAGGAGCATATGTAAAAATCAAGCTAGGGCTTATTTTTGGGGTTTTGGGGAAACAGTATGCCAAAATTCTCTTGCTCTTGCTAACATCATGACTGAGATGCTAGCACTGATGATGTAACCTAGTTGGGTAATGAAACGTTTGCAAGGAAACAATCCAGCTCAGAGAGCACCAAGAACCCCTCCGTTCAACCCTGAGCTAGAAATATTCTCCTCGGATTGGTACATTGTGGGGGATGCTAACCAGTTCCTGGAACTTTTGCTCTCCCCTTCTCCTCTGCCAGGAGTGGGTGCCCATCATCCGGGAGGACATCCAGAGCCAGCGCAAGCTCAAGCAACAGCCGCCCCTCAGTGATGCTTACCTGAGCGGTATGCCAGCTAAGCGGCGCAAGGTGAGACCGGACCCTCTTGCAAGGTGGGCAAGGACACTCGTTTGCCTGGAGCGTTGAAAAAAAATTGGAGGGTTTTAAGAAGAGATCAGACAACTATTTGTCTAAAATCTGTCTAGGTGGTCCTTGACTTCCAACAGTTCATTTTGTGACCATTTGAAGGTTCGACGACGCTTTAAAAAAAAAAAAAAAAAGCTTATGACTATTTTGTCCATACTTACGACCGTTGCAGCGTCCCCACAGTCACATGATCAAGATTCAGTCGCTTGGCAACTGACTCATATTTATGACAGCTGCAGTGTCCCAGGAGTCATCATCTTTGGTGACCTGACAGTCGATGGGGAAAGACAGATTCATTTAACAACAATGTCACTAACCTAATAACTGCAGTGATTCGCTTAACAACCGGGGCAAGGAAGGTTGTAAAATGGAACAAAACTCACTTCGCAACAGAAATTTGGGGCTCAATTGTGATTGCAAGTCAAGGACTACCTGCATCGGGTTTCCTGCTTGAGCAGAGGTTGGCTTAGAAGACCTACAAAATCCCTTCCAACGTTGTTACAGGAAGTCCTCGACTTACGACCACAGCTGAGCCCAGAACTTTCTCGCTTAGCAGTAATCAATTTTGGGCTCAGTTGCTGTCATAAATCAGACTCTTGTATTCTCTTTTGTTGGAAGCTTATATATCTATATCATCTATATATCTCTATCTTTATGTCATCTATCTATCTATCTATCTATCTATCTATCTATCTATCTATCTATC